TTCTCTTAGCACAACGTTACATGTGGAACGGACTTAGACAATCCACATGCTAGCCCGATTCAAACGGTAGTCGGTAAAGGCTTATCAAATCCGTTGATGGCTGAGGGTTTACCAAAAATCCTATGCATGTTTGCAGGTCCATCAGCTTAATGGATGTGAGCCGAGACTTAAAATAGATGAGCCAAAGACAAGTCTCAAAGACTTAGTCAAAAATGCACGGAATCCACTTCCATGTCTTAAGTCAAAACATTAAGGTCAGACCCGCGATACAAAAACCGAACGCCGAGGTCACACCCGTATTCCAAATTCAACATGCAAGGATGAGACCCTCATCTCAAGTTCAAAATGCAGAGTCCACCCCCACATTCCAGAAGCAGGATTATGGCGCATACCTTCACACAGGTCCTACGTGGCAAATCCCTTTAACCAAGATGCCTTCGAAGCAAGTGCAGAGAACAAATCCTTTACCACAAGGAATCAACAGCTCCAAGATCAGAGTTGAGATCCAAAGTATTCCGAAAATTCGTCCCAGTCAACCGTGAACTTTCGAAAACTTTGGAGGGGGTTCTGTAGGCTGTCTAAAAATCACAATAGATAGCTGATCCCCATCAAAACACCGATGATGGAAGTTACAATCTGACGACTTCCAGAAGGTTACAATTTGAAGACTTTCACGTAGATTGCTAAAGGTTACAATCTGACGACCTTCACGACAACTGATGGAAGCTCTGATCAATCAGCCTTCATAATCAATATCGGGAGTTACAATCTGACGACTCTCATATATCAGAGAGCTAAAGCAAAGATTACAAAATGACGATCTTTGCAACGCTTCGACAGAAAGAGACTACAAATCGACGGTCTCTTCAAATCAAGACGTGGAAGTCCTCCCCGCACACCAGCATCAAGACGCACTGCGTTCATAGCCATGAACGCAGCTCAAACGCAGCTTCCAAATCGCTGCAAACGCAACCCAGACGCAGCTCAAATCGCTGCCAAACGCAGCTCAAATCGCCGCCAAACGCAGCTCAAATCACCGCCAGACGCAGCTTCCAAATCGCTACAAACGCAGCTCAGACGTAGATTCCAACGCTGCAAACGTAGCTTCTAATTGCTACGTCCGATCTTCCAGACGATGTGTTCGAGCTTCCAGACGATGCGTTCGAGCTTCCAGACGATGCGTTCAAGCTTCAAGACACTGCGTTTGAATGCAGAATTCACATCAGAATGCGGGCCTGCGTTTGACTCGTTCAAACACAAGCTGAACGGTTTTAAAACCGTTTCCCACGATCTGAGGGGATCACAACTCCACTCAGGAGTGATTTAAGGGGCGGTTACATCCCATTAGCCCCACTTAGGAGCGAATTAAGGAGGTGGTTACACCCCTTAATCCCCTATAAATAAGTAAGAAATCAACTTAGTTCAGGGCTGGATCTTTCGGCGGCGGTCTGTTGGAACTTCTTGGCAGCGAAAAGAGGATCCTTCATCCTTCGGTTGGAGCTTTGGAGATCAGCAACAAGATCTTCTTCATCCTTGGCTTATAACCGACTTTCGGTTAAATCAACTCTTTCATAGAGTTTTAAACTCGTTCAGAGTTCTCCACAACGTGAAATCGTGAGGAGAAGACCACGTTCCAGTGAAACAAGACATCGGATCGTCAACAAACTCGACGCGAGCATTCGAGGGAGGCACTCCATCGCTACCGTGAAGAACCCAGAATTAAACAAAGGGGAGAATCCAGATCATTCTCTTCTCTTTTGTAACCAGGAATTCAAATTATAATCGAGAGTTGAGAGAATTGTAATCATTCTTTTTCTATGCAGTTAGAGAGAATAAAATCAAGTACAGTTCCTTTCTCATTTTCTTGTTACAAAATTTTCCACCAAACAAACCCCTTACAGGTACTCTTCGTCTTGAGGAAGCCAAAACTGCTCAACCGCCCTCGACTGAATCCAGCGAGACCCGAGGACGGTCCCCCCGGTTGTTGAGAGGGCGTTCGGGTTCGAAGTGGTACTCTAGTTCGGTTTCCTGTCCATGTTGAGCGCTGACCCCAGTGAGTCTGATGAGGTACTTTCTCATCTTCTCTCATTCTTCCTCTGCGACGTCGACAACCCTATGAGGAAAGGGATATTCCAGCCCAGCGTGAGGTTCTATTTCCTCCTCAACCAGCTCCACGTGATGAGTCGACTCACGGCGTCTGTCGGATGATTTCTCCAGTGCAGCAGTTCTGGCCTCAGCTCCCTCCCCTATAGGAGCCTCAATCGGTTTTCTAGGGGCCGACTCACCCCCTGACTCGTCTAGATGGACGACGTCAGCCTCAGCCATCTCGGTCGCTGCTAGAGATACTTGTTCCGCATCCCTCCTCATCTGTCTATGGACGAGGGTGGGAGCAACCTCCTCCTCAGCTACCTCGGCTTCCATTGGAGGAATGTCTCGGTGAAGATGCTTTGCCGGCCTAGCAGACTCCTCCTCCTGGGAAACAAGCAAAGGAATAGTAGGCACTGGCACTGCTTATGTTGTCCCTATGATGAGAGCTGAGGCTCTATCATAATGTTGGTCAGTGGCAGGCACGACCGACACACCGACGACCCATAAGACCGACCTGTCGAGCAGATATTCGACTCGTCGAGAGCCAGTATATGCATGGATCTGGTCAAGCGCATCCCTCTCGGTGACAGACAGCTGACCCCTTATGAGAGCATCTCTTCTTATTTTGGACCAGTCGGCATAACCCAACTCTAGGTCGTCCCTTACGACCCAAATGAATTTCTCCTTCTAGTCCTTTTGTGAATCAGGAAGGCCGGTGACAAGCCTGAACTTCCCCATCATCTGAAAGTGGAAATGATGCTCATTCTGGTTCGCCTTCACGGCCACCAACCGCCCTAAGATTAGGAAAGAGGGTTTTATCTCCAGTCAATGATACATTACCACGAACCCCACCAAAATAGCAATGATGTTTGACTTCAGCTACGCCGGTGATACCCCTAGCACATCGAATACTTGTTTGAGAAAGGGGTGCAAGGGTAATCTCAAGCCGTACTCCAGATACCTCATATAGAGTGGGCTTCGCTCACGTCCATGGTCATATATAGCTTCCGACCTCGTCGGAGCCAACAAATCATATGCTTCATGGACAACAAACCTCCTTGGGATTGTCCTCTTCTGTGGCAGGGTCAGCTTAGAATGGATCCCTGCCAGGAGAGCTAACTGGTTCGGAAGCCATTAGAGATTGAAAAAATTATCGCCGAAAAAGATGAATGAAGAAGAACTTGAATTCTCTAAAGGGGATTTCAAAAGACAATAGCTGCCACTCTTATGGCCCTATTCCTATATATAGACAACTGACTTTATAGCTATCAGAATTCGAGCCATTGGATCCAACTGTGTCCAACGGCCAAGATTCATTTTCAGAATTCGAAGCGCCCTCAAGGATCAAGGTGCAGCCCACTTACCTCGGGTAGCCCGCAATTTGCCAAAAAAGCAAAGTTGTAATAATAAAAAGGATGTATGATGACATCAGCCACGTCGCCTCTGATGTGACTTCTCAATTCTCATTCAAAGCACCCACGTTCATCCAAAACAATTTTTATTATATTTCGCTCGGACCCGGCTAAAGCCGACTCCAAGCGAAAGGGACCAACTGTTATGGTGTTTTCACTCGCCCAAGTAAAACTTAAAAACCAAGTTAGGAACAAGTGTACTTCTGCGTGTTATGCACCAATCAACTTGGTGGCCAGAGACGAACAAGATCGATGACTCAGCCAACTTGTCGAGTCGACACATCTCTATGTTGACACGAAAGGCGGTACTTGTCGCCCCATTTCATCGAAGCCGACTCGCCACGAGTTCACTCGACCACTTGTTCAACACCTCACAAAGACGACTTGATGGGCGTTACTTCTCAGCGAAGCTAAAGGACTGTTTTGCCTCGAGTCTCTCTCTCTCTGACAACGTGTCGGTATCGTATTTAATGCTTGATATGTGCTATCATGACTCTAGCTCTGATAATCTTCATGACTCATCGGACCACGTGGACCACCACCTTGCCACCACTCACTTCTCATTTAATGTTGAAGTGATCTTCCCCACAATCACCGGCTGACACCTGTAAAGCAAGTGTTGACACGACTGTCAGCTCATGCTTCTCCATCGCCTCTTAGTGCTCGGCCGAAGTGACTAATCTATCCTTCTATCCATGGTATATATTCATGTGCTACTAGAACTTTAAGGGGATTCCAAAACTATTTAAAAAACTGGTTCACAAACTTGATCTCTTGAGAGATATCTGCAAAATTATATTGCACACAAACAAGAACTCTCACAGTTCTTATTTATCCCGCTCAAGTTTGTCAGCTAATTTGATCGTCGGAGGTACAACGGGAGGACCAAACCTCGTCCTCTCATGAATTTCTACATGTGTAGATTTTTCAGCCACCTAGCTCAAGAACCAGACATAAGTCGGAGAAGAAAGCAACCCCTCATCAATCCTCAACAAACTTATCCAAACATGGATACATATTGACTGTGTGATCACTTAACATCAACAAACTTTCTTCATTGAACATATGTAAGATTACTACCCACAATTGTCACAAAAAAGTTGTCCTTAATGAGAGGTAATTTTACCATGGTAAGCTTATTCATATTTTTATACATACTTCAAAACCAACCAAACACAAGAAATTGAGGAAAAATCATTTATAGCTAATTATTTTCTCATGTGTTATTACGCCAACCATAAAAGAGGAAAGTGTGAAAAATGATTTCCAGCTATGTTTAAGTGTGAACCAAACACCAAAACCCCCATTTCAAGGAAAACTAAAAAAAAAAATTAAAAATTGAGTTTTTCTCAAACAATAGAGGTTTCCACCAAAAGTAAGAAACGAACCAAACATAGAGAAAGAAAACAAAAGAATCTATTTATCCTATATAGACATAATCGTTTTATCATTTTTTAAGCGAACCAAACAACTCCTAAATTACAACCAACCTCATCTTTGATGGCTGTTTCGCAGTGCTTAGCAGGAGCTCTAAAATCTAATGTTTTCTTTGGAAGTTTACTCAGGGAAGGGAAGGAAAGTTAAATAATAGAAAGGAAAGGCAAGGAAGGAGAGGGGGGAAAATAAAATATTGTTTGAAAGTTTAGTAAGAAGAACAGATGTAAGCTTAATTCACATTGTTTGAGAGTTCTAATAAAGAGGAGGGAAGTGAACAAAATATATATAAAGTTATACAAATACTCTTACATGTCATTAAGATATTTTGTCAACTAATAAATTATAAGGGTTAAATGACCTATCCATCTTATAAAAGTTTACACCCATTTTCTGTGCTCCCTCGACCGTCGAAAAAACTCCCGATCAAGAAAAATCGTATCGAAATTTAGCTCCCCCACCATCCCGTAAAGGAAAATTTTTGAAAACCATCCTATTTAAAAAAAAAATTGTTAATTCTGACCTATTCTAAAAAAATTTGTTAAAACCGATCTAATTTCAGCTGTCTGGTTCAGTTTTGACAAAATATATTCCGAAACTTCACGAGACTTCTTCCAATCCCGTGAAGTTTTTGTACATTAGAAAACTTCACGGGGCTTGAAGTCCCGTGAAGTTTCGGAAGATTTTTCTTCAAAACGGATCTAGTTTCAGCCCGACGGCTGAAACTGGAGCGGTGTTCACAAATATTTTGTAGATGGGTCGATTTTTGCAATTATTTTCTCAAATACGATTGTTTTCAAAATTTGTCCTCCCATAAACCCTGAAAAAACTCCCAAACAGGAAAAATTTTGTGTTCCCTTCCATCTTCTAACCCCCATCCACGCTCTCACCGCTGATTACATGTCCCTCTCCCAACTAAATCCCTCGAGTTTTGCTACAAAGATCCAAAATATGAGACCAATAAGAGAGACAAGTAAGGTGTCCATTTCTTATTGGATAATGAGTTGGTCATCAATGATGACCAATTTATTATCCAATAAGAATGATAACAACTTATTCTCCAATAGAAGGGTCACCTCATTTGTCCTCGTCCTCCTATTTTGGCTCAACGGGTCGTTGAGGAATTTTTCAAATCCCTCCGTCGTTCCGACAGACGTCTCTCTCAACACTCCGGCTCTCAGATGTTGATCGAACGCATTGCTCTACAATAATTATTTACCAAAAAAAAAAAATTCTCAAAAAGCCCTAGGATGGCCTCCTCCCCTTCTCTCCTCCCCCAAAACCCTCTCCTGACCTCCCCCAAATCCAAAAAAACCCTAAAGCCCATCTCCCCCCCTTTCACAGTCCGCTCCTCCCTAACTACTCGCCAAGCCCGTTCTCTCGGGGCCACCCCCGCGTTCGTCGTCAGTCACCTCAGGAAAAGGGTGGCCCGTCGGGGCAGACACGGACCACCGCCAACCTCGGCCTCTCAGCTCGCCCGCCACGCCTTCTCCGTCGCGCCCTTTTGACGCTGACCTCGGCCTCCGCAAACCTCACCTCCTCCTCGGCATCGAGTCCGGCGTAACTTTCACCGCCTCGACGCCCTAAGCGGCCTTCTCTGCCTTCGACAGGCCCTCGTCCCGCGACCAACGCGCTTTCCCTCTTCGTTTCTTCCCTCCTCTGCGTCACCAAGCCCCGCTCCAAGCTTCCCCTCAATTTCGGCACCAACTCCCTCCTCTGGATCGTCGACGCCCTTAAAGACCGCGACTTTATCCTCATTGACTGCCCCGCCGGAATCGACGCCGGGTTCATCACCGCCATCGCCCCCGCCAACGAGGCTGTAGTCGTGACGACCCCCGATATCACCGCCCTCAGAGATGCTGATCGGGTCATTGGACTGCTCGAGTGCGACGGGATCAAGGACATCAAGATGATCGTGAACCGGGTTCGGACTGATCTGATCAAGGATGAGGATATGATGTCTGTGCTTGATGTGCAAGAGATGCTGGGGCTTGAATTGCTTGGAGTTGTGCCGGAGGATGCTGAGGTGATTAGGAGTACAAATCGGGGGTTTCCCTTGGTGTTGAATAGGCCGCCTAGCTTGGCGGGGATTGCGTTTGAGCAGGCGGCGTGGAGGTTGGTCGAGAGGGATAGTATGAAGGCCGTGATGGTGGAGGAGGAGCCCAAGAAGAAAGGGTGGTTCTCCTTCTTTGGCGTGTAGATGCAATGGAGTTTTCTTTATTGTGGGGAAAGTGTATAGAGGTACCTACTATCCGGATTTCATGAAGCAAGCAAGGTGAGTGCTTTTGATTTGAATGCTTTTTTTTGGGTGAATGTCTTGATGTGAATGGTATTTGCAAAGGGCTAAGATGTATTCTTTGTGGGTGAATAAATTCTGAGTCATGTTAGCTGTGCCTAGTGTTTTTGGACTTGTTTACGACAGTGAAATTGATTTGGTTGATGCTCTTGCAGATGGATTCTCTTTTATTTGTTGTGATTATTATGATTTTGAGTCCGTCTTATGCTTGTAACTCTCGCTAATAGTAACCATGCGAGATGAATTTAAGATTGCATTAAGCTCAATTCTAGCGGGTAGTGAGAGATTTTCAAGCATAATTGTAATTGATTGTTGCAATATGTAAATATGTACCCTCTATTTCTAGGATCAGTGTGTCTTTTTATTTTGTTTCTTGATAGAAGTTGTTGGAGGCAAATGTCTGGTAAAACACATTTTGACTTTTTTCTTTTTTTGGAGTAATTTGTTTAATGTAATTAATCATATTCAGAACTGATTTAGGATGATAGTTGGCTGACTAGATCACGTGCTTGTTGAACTGAAGGTCTTCTAATTCTTGTGGTTGTTTTTTTATACTTCAACGTTTATATAGAATTGACGGTCTATAGTTAATACATTTTCTACTACATTTCTATTATTTCTTGTGGATAACATATAAAGCTTTTAATGCTTTATTTGAAAGTGTTGGGTTTGTGTCTTTCAAGGAATATCATGTACTAAAAAAGTTTTAGCTTAGTAACTCTTGATGTCTATTTACGTATGAGTTTGTTTATTAAGGTGAGTACATAGCAGTTCATCATCGTAGTTATTTAAAGAAGTTATATTTGTTATTCACATATTTTTGGAACTATACCTTCATTTCTTATAAGTGAGAGAAAGTATCAAAGAGTAATTGTATTCTTATTGCATACTAAATAGTTGACACCTTGATATGTCATGTATATATGCTGAACTGCTATGTGATAAGCTATGCGGTTATTTAGCTTTCTCATTTCATTGTTTGTTTCCAGTATATCCAGGTCTGGAAATCTAACTTCACTAGTAATCCGGTGAGCTATCAAAGATTGTTCATAGCATGATAACTCACTTCACTAGTGATCCAGTATATCCAGTACATCTTTGATTATGTTTTTCATGGGTGGGTTCATTTATGGTCGTCTTTTGATTTTGGGCAAAGGTGCACTGTGCCGTCCAACAAATTAATTCATCCACCTTTTGTAGAATGTGCATGCTTATTACTTCCAAAGCAAATATTTTAAGGCACACTTCAAACTGATATCTATCATATTGTTATTCTTCATCACCCAACCCAAAAAAAAAAAGAAAAAAGTAAAAGAAAAAACCAAACACACACACACAAGGAGATAAAAGTCATTGTGTTCAGAAATGTGCTATGATTTCAAACAAGAATAATTGTAAAGATATAAATATAGCAACTTATCAGATTTTTGTTCAGATGGGTATAGCTTAAGGGTCTAAGTCGAAGAATTCGGGTTGGGCTCCCTCGCGACACTTAATTATGATGTTCGAGTAGTAGTCGCCAATAATTCAATATTAGATGTGAGTCTCCAACAGTTAGTTATTATCTAGACTAAGAGATTATTACTCAATGATAAAAGAGGAGTTTTGAATTGGAACCGGACATGTTTATCCTTACCTTCTTTCCTTGAGTGTTTTCTCAGATTAAGATATTATTATGTTATGTGATAACCCAATTTTATTTACCCAGCCATTCTTCAAACATTTGATCTTAGCATGGCTTGAGCTTTCCTTGTTTAACAATTACACTTGAAGTTAAGGAGATTGACTTGCTATGTTCGGTAAATGGCTTGAGCTATATGAGTATTGATGACTTCTTCAGATTACAAGCCCTCTGAAATGGTGGATTCTAGGAGCTTGATATCAGAACTTTTTGATGATCTGAAAGATGTTTGAAGATACGAGGTAAGCAACTCCCTATAGAGAAGTGGATTCTTTTTTAGTTTGAACGTCCAAATTTCAAACCCTTGTAAGTGATGTGCTTTCTAGGAGCTTGAAACTTACTGCCGACTACCTGTATGGAGGTACATCTTTCTTTAAATGTGATTCAGTTTAGCATGAACTGTATTTGTTGCAGTATGTTTTAAGAGAAAAACAGAATTCAAGCTTGCATTTTGCTTCCTCAAGTTTAGTGTCGTATTTTCTGCAGTAAATTCCCAGCAAAATATTTGTTTCTGCACTGATTTTAGCCGTCAAGTCATCCTTATATGCTTTTCATGCTAGATTTTCCCATTTTAGTAGAATTTTGCAGCAAAATTTCCAAAAATATTTTATCATTTTAGTCGACAGCATCAGAAATTTCATTTTGTACTGGTTTTAATCTTGAATTTGTATCGAAGCATCTCTTTTACCAGTGACGTTTACTTGTTTACAACAAATAGTAGTATGGTTGCAATGAGAACGTAGACGAAGATGAATAGAGATCCTGGAGATAAAATATTGAGAAAAAAAAGGAAAAGGTCAAAAGAGCAAGTCTGGTCATCACATTTAACATCTCTAGTTAAGACTTAGTAGAGCTTGGTTAGGGATTTGACAGACACGAAAATAAGTCTATTTTTGAGTTGGTCTTATACTACAGAACATATCCGGCTGTAAGTGTATAAGGCTCTAATTTCCCTATATGTAGATCCAAAAAAAATTTCTTGGAGCGGTGAATGACTAGTATCTATTTGCCTAAGTGAAAATAGAATATTAATTTCAAACAGGTTGAATGAAGATGTCTACTAATTGGTAACTGCTAAATGCAAATTGTTTGAAAATTCAAGTTGAGGTGCAAATTTTTTTAAAACTATGAGGGGAAATTGTAAATGTAGAAGGCTTTTAAAAGTAATTTGTAGATTGTTGGGGGTGCAACTGTTCGCCTAACTGACTATATGCATCCGCCCCTGTATGTATTTTCTAAGAGAACAGTATCCCAATAGCTCTAAGCGCATTACCCCTGGTATCGCTCTATTCTTTTCCGCCAATTTGGCATTATTCCTCTCTAGGTTTTCTTGAACTTGAAATTTGTACAACTTTTAAACTGTTCCAGAAATTTTGATTTGTAGTGAAATATATTAAAAATGACGTTACGGGTTGTAAATTTTTTTTTTTGAACCTGAGAAACAGGGTGTAAAGCCCTGTTCATTTTAATATATTGCAAAAGTATCAACAGAGGAGATTACAACATCTCTAGATGGAGAGAGCACAATAGGAGAAGTGAGTAGGGAGCGGACCAATGTCGTCACCTACCACACTTGACCTACAGTCCCCTACAGCTAGATAGAAACACTTCAAACATAACAACAGGGGGATAAATAACAACCACACTTAATGTATAATGACTAGACAAAGCATGATACTTCCTATAGCTAACCAAAAGTGGGGGCGTCTTCACTGAGCAAAAACTTCTTCTTCATATTAGGACAAGAGAAAATGGAGCTTAGTTGCTGGAACAGTTGTCCCCAGCCTCTATTTGGGTATTCTTCTTGGCTAACTCATGCAGTCCGAGGTTGAGAAATGCCCTTCGAAGCCTCCTCGCCGTCCTATCATCTCCTGAACCTGTCCAAAAAAATGGAAAACCTCGCTATATTAGAAGCAGTTTGCAGCGGGATGGGCTGGATATCCTTGAAAATGAGTGAATTTCTACAAAACCAGATCCTCCAACATTAATTATATGCCTCACTGCATAGAAGAGTGATAATTACACTGCCCTCTCCTACCCTACATCTACCCTACAAGAGAAATAAGTATGAGCTCTCTTGATGAGTCATTGTATTTTTTGTTTCTTATAGTGTAGAAGTAGTGTAGGTAGTGTAGGAGCAGCGGTGTAGTTATCACTATTCCACTGTATATGTATCTTCTCATTAACAATTTAGTAACTCCAAGTTTCAATTAACTTTCCATCTTTAATATCTTTAAAGATTATGATAAGGAGATAGACACGAAAAGCATTATTATTCATTTTGCAAAAACGCTACTCTCTCTTTATCACAATCTTTAAACTCTAAGGATATGACCACCATCTTTAAAATGACAAGGAACGTCGTGCTTTCAGCTTTTGTCAATTGTTAGCTTTCAGCCATTGCGAGACTGCGGTTGCTTTAGTTACAATATACCTGTGAGATGAATGCATCTCTATCCTTTAGCCTTCTTAAGTTCACTAGTTATGAAAGAAAGTTTGTGCAATTTTCACCAGTTTCTGCTTGTTATCTAACCGAAATGTTTTAAGATCTTTTTCTCTTTCATTTCTGCAAGCCAATTAGTTTCTTCTTTCAGTAATTTTCACCTTGAGACGTGTTTGTACTTGTATTTGCTGGAAATGGCTTGAGAAGAGGAGACGCCACGTTTCAGCATTGTGGTTTTGATTTTCAGTTAGTAGTATTTCGGTTGTAATAGTTAATTTGAATTTTGAATTTTAGTTTTTGATTTGGTAGTTAATCAGTTTAGTAACTGATTGATTGTGATTGATTATGAGAGATTTTTGTGAGATTTTGAGATCTGTAATTTCTCTATTTAAGCACTTATGTAATCAGATGAAAGATTATTGAAGAATGAATAAAATTTAAGTTGGCTTAATTAAGGTGTGAAACCCTAGGCAACTTTTATTTCGTTTCTTTTCTAGCTGCATTTCTTTCTTTTCTTCCTCCACGTACAAAGCCGCCCTCTCCCTTCTCTAATTCACGTCACCCAAACCCCGTCTCTCTTTTCCTTCCTGTAGCTACCCACCACCAGCGCCAACAACGCCTCCCTGCAGCAACATAGTCCGCCTCGCGAGTTCATTTTCACATGCTCCTCCATCTCCTTCCAAGTCTTTAGCACAACCATCCTTAACTGGTCACTTCCGCCGCCTCTTAGCTCACGCAACGCGTCTAACACAACGCTCCAGCTCCTCGTCATCATTCCAAGGCGCACACTTCTCTCCCTCCCACACGCCACGGAACCTGTCCCTCCCGCTCGATAACCCCCTTCCTCCCCCTCATTTCCCTTGAAATTCCCCTACCTGACAGTCGCTGTCCCTTTCCCCTCCAGATCTCCTCCTAGCCGAGCTACCCACTGACTCCCTACCGACTGCTACTCTCCCCTATGCTCCTTTGATTGGAGCAGCCACCACCAACATTGCAGACTACTACATCGTCAAATCAACATAGCCACTTCCATCGATGCTCAGTTT